CCCTGCACCTCCTTACGTCCCATCCTATCAGCTCCCACTTCTCCTTACCCTCCACCCACTGCAACCGCCTTCATGAAACCCCACTGCACTAGCCCCGTAGCTCACACTGGCCTCCACACAGCAGCCTGTGCAGCCTCCAAAGCAGGAGGGGACCCAGCACCCTCTGCTGCAACCCTCAGCGACTCCCCGTCCTGGTGAGAGGAGGCCCCTCGTCCAGGCTCTGCTCAGCTCCCTCTGCCTGCTTCTGGGCTCCCTGCTGCCTTCTCTGCAGCCTGCGGGCCAGCACCACACCTCTCCCAGGCAGCCCCTCGTCTGCCCGTTCTTCTCTGAAAACTTCCCTAATCGGGGGTAAGACGGTTCCTCTCTCCCCTGTGCCTCAGGGCTCCTGTGTCCCCATCTGTCACACCTGAAAGCCAGGAAGTCCTCATCGGCTCACCTATCGTCACCCTCCCCCCCATTACCCCTCCCCCAGCCCCCCGCTGGCCTAAGCATCTCTCCGGCAGGACCAGGCCTAAGTTCATTTGAATCCCTGTTGCCAGCACAGCGCCTGGGTGCCAAGGAAATGTGTGTTTAAGACAGAATACGTGAACAGCGGGTCAGGGGACCCAAAAGCCAAACAGAGATAAATACCTGAAGGAAGCCTCCACTCTGGAACTTAAAACCTGCTTTTAGGAGCGATGCCCTTGGGGAGAGGAGTTGGCAGCCAGCACCCGCCGCACCCACACAGGGTCAGAGCAACCTCTGCTTTGAATGACACAAAGGCCAATCTAAAGCTTAAGCCAGAGGAATCGGTTATAACAATAAGACGCCTCCCGCTGAAAATCCTGGCCCTTAGTGACACCTGCTCCATCGCTCAATTCGGGGACGGATCCCTGGCTCCGGGGCCGACCCAGCAGGGAACCCCAGCATTAAACACGTTCCTAGGCGCATCACTCTCTAACCTCCCAGCCGGGCTGCCCCGAAACCCCGGCTTTTCCGCAGGAACCAGCCCATCACCTACGTTATCGATCAGCTGCTCGGCGTCCTCCCTCTCCTTCTTCTCCACGTCCGCCAGCGTGATGTACTGGGAGTCGCCGGCGCCCAGCGTCTCCGCGTCTGACAGCCTGACCCGAAGTCCCTTTTCTAATTCCTCCAAATCCTGCAAAAGGCAAAAGAGAGAAAATAAAGAACAAGTTGGAAGTGTCTTAAGTTCTGCCATAAGAAATGCTTTTGTTTTTCACATTCTCATGGATTATTTATTTCTTCCCCCCGGGGAATATATCTTACCCAAACGTCGGTGCTATGGGTTTTGTCCTATTTAAGGTTTGATGATAGAAATTGATTTTTCTCCTTAAACATAGAGCCCCGAGAATGATGGATTATTTTCTTCTATAGTCCTCACCCCCACAAAAAGTAGACCAGGCTTAGAAAGCAATGAAACAGCATCTTTCACTCCTTCTGCAGCTCAGGGAAACCAGATATTTAAAAATGCCCCAGCCTGAACAGGAAGTCCCGCCCACAGTGGCTCTCTCGGACAGAGAACATGACCGACATTCTTCTCACTTCTCTGCCTCCAATATTTTTCCCATTTTAGTCCACACTGTGGTTTTTACATCTGTCCTCATGCCTGTATCTCTGTATTACGTTAAAAGTGTATCTCTCTATGTAAAAGCCTACACCACCATCTGACCAGCCAGTGGCTATGAGGCACACTGACCACCAGGGGGCAGACGCTCAATGCAGGCGCTGCTGAGCTGTGGTGACTTGGCAGCAGTGGTTCTTGGGTGACGCACCAGGAACCAGAGAGGAGGGAGCCCGATTCCCGGGTGTGTCACCCGAGAACTGCCCTCTGGCAATCCGGGTCCCCTCAGGGGATGTCAGAGAGCCGGTTTCAGCCCGATCACCGCAGGTCAGGCCGAGGGACCCCATCGGAGCACGAATCCGTGCACTGGGCCTCCAGTATTGTAATAAGCTATTTTCCAGTTACCTGGAAATACAGATGGAAGACTTACATTTTCCTGTTTTGAAAGAATCTTCTGGTAGAATTCGTCATCAGGCTTCTTTCTCGGAAGGAGGTCAAGGAGGCACATTTTAAAGATCTGAATAAACATCTGTTGCCAAAGAAGGGAACATAGCAGAAATGAAGGTTTACACAACAGAATCTCCCTTCCTCCTGCTTCTCTCTCTGTTTCTCTCTCTGTCCCTCTCTCTCTGCCTGTCTCTCCCCCTGTGTCTCTTTCTCTTTCTCTCTGTCTCTCTCTCTCCCCATCTGCCTCTCTCTCTCTCTCTCTGCTTCCTTTTCTCTCTCGGTCTCTCTTTTTCTGTTTCTCCCTCCCTCTCTGGGTAAAGTGAAGCCGGGGCTCACCCACAGGCAGGAGCTGCCTTCTCATCTTGGGGTCTCTTCCTAAGATGGCTCTCCCTCCCGAGGTGCTGGCTCCACCATTCCCCACACCCACCTCCCGGGGGTCCCGGCACACAGAGCCCGGGTCGCGGTGCCGGAGCCCTGAGGGGTGCCGAGCCGCCTCGCCACCTACCAAGCGCTCGTCCTGCCTCAGCGCCGCGTCCAGCTGGAGCAGGTCTTTTAAGTGGAGGTGATAGATGCATAGGTCAAGGTCGGCGCTGCCAAGTCGCAAGAGGAAGAGAGACCTTTAGTGTCTGAGGTGGGGAGCGGGGTGACAGATAGGGCGTCCCTGCTCAGTACCAGCCTCGCGGGTCCTGCCCCAGATTTTACATCCGCAGCGTGTGCGCACGCGGAGATTCCCAACAGCCACACGGTCTACGAGACCGAGTGTCAGGAGCTCTTTGCGACCCACTCGTGACCAGAGGGGACGTGGCCGGGACATCAAGGACAGAGCCGGAAGACGGCAGGTGGGAGAAATGACACTGGCACGTGATCCAGTATCACAGGCCGCCTTTCTGAGGGCTCAGCTGGACATCCTGTGCCCACTGTACAGGGAGGACGCTGACGCAGGACATCGAGGGCCGGGGAAATCGGTGTTGGTGGCGGTCACAGGGCAGGTCAGCGGCCGGGTGCAGGGAAAGGCCTACCGTTTCTCCGACACAGGCAAAGCCTTTTGAGTGACTAACCCCGAACGGTTAGACGTCCTCTAAGTCCAGGCTCAGACACAGCCTCTCCCAGCGAGGAAAGGGGCTCCGGTCCAGCCACGTCCCTCCCGCCGTGGGCCACCTGTGGGGTCCTCACCAAGCTCCGGTTCTGAGCCCACTCATGCCAAAGCCCGGGCCATGTCCAGGGCCCCTCGAGCTCACCGAACGTCAGAGCAGACAGGCCTGAGGCCCGGCCCCCACACCCCCACACCCAGCACTGAGAAGGCGCCTACTCAGTGCTGGCTGCAATGCTGTACACAGGCACTCTACAAGGCGCCTACTCAGTGCTGGCTGTGATGCCATGTATAGGCATGCTGGAAGGCGCCTACTCAGTGCTGGCTGCAATGCCATGCATAGGCATGCTGGAAGGCGCCCACTCAGTGCTGGTCGCAATGCCATGCATAGGCACGCTGGAAGGCGCCTACTCAGTGCTGGCTGCAATGCCATGCATAGGCATGCTGGAAGGCGCCCACTCAGTGCTGGTCGCAATGCCATGCATAGGCACGCTGGAAGGCGCCTACTCAGTGCTGGCTGCAATGCCATGCATAGGCATGCTGGAAGGCGCCCACTCAGTGCTGGTCGCAATGCCATGCACAGGCACACTGGAAGGCGCCCACTCAGTGCTGGCCGCGATGCCATGCATAGGCACGCTGGAAGGCGCCCACTCAGTGCTGGCCGCGATGCCATGCACAGGCACGCTGGTAGGCGCCCACTCAGTGCTGGCCGCGATGTCATGCACAGGCACGCTGGAAGGCACCTACTCAGTGCTGGCTGCGATGCTGTGCACAGGCACACTGGTGACGCATCAGGGTCCCCTGAAGTCTCTCCGTGGCTGGAGCCTGACTCCGTAACTCCTATGTGGGTCGATACCAAATGGCAAGTGACAGAGGGAGACAGGGTCCCACTCTGACACAGGGCGGCTGTGTGTCCCTGGCTGAGTTGCTTAACCTCTCTGGGCCTCTGTTCTCTGTTTCCTCCTCTGACAACCACATGCCTCATGGGCCCGCGTCCTCGCTCCGCCCTCCTCACCTCTCGCAGGTCAGGGCCTCGGGGAAGCTGTGGATGCGGAGGAAGGTGCGGCGGAGGAACCTGTCGTCACTGGCGGCCGAGTGGATGCTGGACGAGGAGCTGCACTCGTCCTTCTCGGCCTGGCTCAGGCTCCCCAGGCTGCTGCAAGGCGACGCCTCCACCGGCTGGTTGGGCAGAACTACCTGCTTTAAGTTTTCGTGCAGAGACGGGTTGGAGGAGCCGTCGGCCAGAGGCTGGGGCAGCAGAGAAATGGGACTCAGTGCATGTGACCATCAGGAGTCTGACGCGGTAATTCCACCCGTAACACCGGACAGCGGCTCCCGGGCGGCCAGGCGGGCAAGCTGGGCAGGGGCGGGAGTGGACCCGTGTCACAGCTCTCTTGTCCCCAAGAGACCAAGGCTCTGCCCCAGGCTCCCACCCCTTAGCTAGGAGCCTGCCTCTGCCCCATGACCCCTGCACCTGGTACTCAGCTGCCCACTTGTCCACAGCAGCCCCCGGCCCTGGCCCACCTGTCTTGCTGCTGTCTCAGACCCGGGGCCAGCTCTGTCCACTAACCCGCTGACCACCTGGCTCTTCTTCACCTGCGCTGACAGGGGCGCCACCTCCTCTCCCCAGACCTGCCATTGCCCTGGGGTTGGCTCAAAGAAATGCAGTTCCTGCCATGACCTCAAGAGGGCGCAGCCTGAGCAGGGCCCTGCCCCGCAGGCTGAAACCCTCTCCCTGTCCTTTGCTGGGAGGAAGCAGCTGGCCCCCAACACAGAGCTCAGCGCCTACCTTCTCCGACGCCCAGCCCACACCAGCTCCTACAGGCCCCTGTCCTCTGTGCAGCCTGACACCACACCGTGTCCCTCCCAGACGGGGCAGCCTCCAGGGGGAGGACCATGCTTCCCTGACCCCAGCCATGCCCAGTGGCCACTGGGGAGGCAGCCCGGCGTGGGTGTGGTGCTGAAGAAATGGCCCTGCTCTGGGAGTGTCCCCCTGCCCTTGCCCCCACCCCCCCACTCCCCACAGAGCTAAGGAAGGAAGGCAGTGGTTCCCAGTGTGTGTCCAGGGAACAGGTCCATGAACTGCCACCCGTTTCTGTTCACCGCAAGGGTTCCCTGGGGAATCTAATTTGGGAGAGTCTGCATGGACCAGGGTGGACTAGTCTCCTCGGTGCGGGAATTCTCAGAGCCTTCGATACGCTCTGGCTGTTCTCAGGCAAGTGCTGGTTTAGGAACAGAACGGGTGCGTGCTTAGCTGTCACACACGGGCCTCAGCCCTTATGTCTACTGTCCGACTTAACCCAAACCACTGGGTGAGGCAGGAGGGCCCATTGCTCCCATTTCACAGATAAAGAAACTGAGGCCCCAGAAGTCAGGAAATGGCCTGCAGTACACAGCGAGGGGGAGGGGTGGGGAGAGTTCGGACTGAGTCGGGGTCTCTCCAGAACCTGTCCTCTTTCTCGCCAGCATTTTCCTCAACTTTCTTGACCAGGAAACTCTTTTTCCCACAGAGCATCTCGCCGGCTGGGGGCTCCTAAGGCGCCAGGGGAGCCCGCTCTCTGCGAAGCTCCTGAGGCTGCGGTATGAACGCCTGCCTTCGGTGTGAGGCCTGTAGCCAGGTGAGGGGGGTGACCGGCCCGGCCTCTTTCTGCAGCGACTTCGGGAGGTCGTTAGCCCCTCTGGGCCTCAGTTTCCTCTGTGCAACGTGGAAACGACAGTATGATTTATCTCATAGGAGCCTGTGAGGCTGGAATGCCGGATGCATGACAAATGCTTAGCACAGGGCCGGCCCCACCGAAGTGTTCAGGAGTGTCGGCTGCTGGAGTGAGCCTCAGGGTCTGGGATCGAGGTGCTGGAAGCTGTGTTAGTTCGGTATTTGTATTAGTGTTGTGCGAGCGGGGCGGGCGCCGTCCTACTGTGCTGTCCCTGGTGTGCCTGGGGCACAACATACCATGGTATTTCCTTATCTGGATACACCAGGCGCACCCTGGCCCTGACCACACTGCCATCAAACACCAAGTGTTGCTCGGTGACAAAGCCTCACGCTCATCCCTATTACACTGGCTGCCATAAACCCGCAAGTAGAACCTGAGCTGCACACCGAGCCCCAGGACTCCACCCCGACCTCCACCCACTGAGTGACTGGCTCCCGAGCCGGAGCGCGGGCCTCTCACCCGGAACTTCTGGTTGATGGGATAGACGACTTTCGCCTTCAGTGCGAATGCTGTCACGTTGCTGTTGAAGGACGGCTCGCGTTCCTGGGAAGAAGAACAAACGCATGGGGAGCTTCCGGGAGACGAAGGGTAACCGCCAAGGGCTTCCAAAGTGCCACACCGCGCGGTGACAGCGCCTGGCAAAGGGACCACAGGCTCCCACAGGCCAAAGTGAGCACGCCCTCGGCAGAGGACGGATGACGGATGGGGGAACAGGTGGATGGACGAATGGACAGACAACAGGTGGGTGGACGGATGGACAGATGAACACACAGATGGATAAGTGGATGGGCAGGTGAGTGGATGGATGGATGGATAGATGGATGGGCAGATGCATGGTGGATGAATAGATGAATGGGCAGGGGAGTGGATGGATGGATGGACAGATGGATGGGCAGATGGATGGTGGATGGATAGATGGGTGGATGGATAGATGGATGGGCAGGTGAGTGGATGGATGGATGGATAGATGGATGGGCAGATGGATGGTGGATGGATAGATGAATGGGCAGGGGAGTGGATGGATGGATGGACAGATGGATGGGCAGATGGATGGTGGATAGATAGATGAATGGGCAGGTGAGTAGATGGATGGATGGGTGGATGCATAGATGGGTGGATGGATAGATGGATGGGCAGGTGAGTGAATGGATGGATGGATAGATGGATGGGCAGATGGATGGTGGATGGATAGATGGGTGGATGGATAGATGGATGGGCAGGTGAGTAGATGGATGGATGGACAAATATGTGTATAGATGAGTATACAGATGAGTGTACAGATAGATGGGTAGATAGATGGGCAGGTGAATAAGTGGGTGGACAGATGGATGAATGAGTGAATTAATGGACAAATGGGTAGATAGAGGAACGTACAGACAGCTGGAAAGATAGATGGGCAGGTAAATGAATGGATGGATGGATGGATGGATGATGGATAGACGGACAAATGGGTGGGTGGGTACATGGACAGATGAATGGATGGATAGGTATGAATAGACGGATTGACAAGTGGGTGGATGGTGGATGGCTGGATGTACTGACAGGTGATGGAGGGGCAGACAGATGTTAAATAGCACATGCATTTAATTCCAAGTCTTCACCTTTGGGAGAAATCAGGATTTAAATACCATGACAATAATGAACAAGAGCATTCCTAAAACTGTGCACCACATTTTAGCGGAAAAGTCCGACAGAGTAATTTTAGCTGTGCCGCTGGTATAAACACTTACACGCGGCAATATTCATGCAAGACTTGGGCCCTCCCTCACACAAAAAGCAGAGGTGGGCGGTCTTCTCGCTCTTCTGAGCCTTGGTCCTCCGGACAGTGCCCAGGTGGGTGCCTATCGCCAGGACCGCGCAGGACAGAAGCGAGACCACGCAGCTGGATGGGGTGGCGAGGAGCCTGCGAGCGAGGCCCTGCTCAGGAACCGCCCGGGAAGCCGTCCTGACCGCAGCTGGATGGCCCTTCCCAGCCGCTCTCCACCCCGCTTCTCTCACGTCTCTCCCCTGCCAGCACGTCCCCCTGCACGTGGCAGAGTCAGTGCTGAATGAATGTTCTGGAAACAACCAGTGCGTGGACGAAGGTGAGCAGGCAGCTAAGTCAGGAGCCTGGCGCGCAGACCTCAGCCATCTCCACCCACCAGTTCGAAGAGGCTGGTGGGGGAAAACCGCACCCACTCCTACTTCCCTGTTTTCAGCTGAATCCTGAAGAAAGAGCTCCATGACAATGAGTGAAAAATACAGATTTTCCGCTTCCTCACAACGTGGAAGGTTGGAACAGCACCTGCCCGAGCCAGCACCAGGCCCCTTATGTCTCCTGAGAGGGCTCCCCATGCTGCCCCACTGAGCAGGGCAGGGAGGGGCAGGGGCCCGGTTCTCGTCATTTCCGTTCGTCCCTTACGATTTGCAGAAATAGGCTTAGGTGACAAGAATGGGAAACATCCCACATGTGCCTCCTCCTCAAGCTCCCAAGGGTCTGGCGACAGAGGTTTCCCTCTCCATTTCTCACACAGGAGAGATGAGCACAGAGAGGTTAAGCCATGTGCCCGGGGCTGCACAGCTAATACATGCCAGAACTGGGATTTGAACTCAGATCCCTGGCTCCGGAGGGGCAAACCAAGGTCGAGAGGTCGACACCCTCCATTTCATCCTCCTGGGCAATCAGATGACCTTTTAAACATGCAGTTCCCGTCACTGCCCAGCTGCCGACCCTCCTGGCTGCCCTCTGACCCCAGGGGAGGACTGCCCCCCGGCCCCCAGCATTCAGTCTCGCTCTCTGCTTTTTTAGGACAAAAGCGAAGAATGGCAGTAAGATGAAAAGCCTGTCTTCGGAACTGGTGACATAGTTTGCGGGGCTCAGTACAGAAATGATTAAGAAGTTCAAGACAGCCGAGTCTGCGAAGCAGGGGCAGGCCCGACGGAACGGGGCCACGTGACATCACAGGCCTGGCTGAGGTACAAGAGGAGACACCCTTGCTGAGAATTCCACGCGAAAGCAGAGAGGGCATGGCCACTTTAACCTCCTCACATCCAGTGAGAGGACAGAAGAGGTGAGCAGTGGGAGGAAGGCCTGGCCCTGCCTCCCGGGGGTTCATGTTCAGCTGGAGACACAAAGCAAAAACTGCGCTTCCTGTGAAAAGCATTGCCCGGCCGGTGTGGCTCAGGGGTGGGGCGTCGGCCTATGAACCAGGGGGTCTTGATGTGATTCCTGATCGGGACACATGCCCGGTTGCAGGCTCCATCCCCAGTGGGGGGCGTGCAGGAGGCAGTCGTTCCATGATTCTCTCTCAACATTGATGTTTCTCTCTCTCTCCCTCTCCCTTCCTCTCTGACATCAATAAAAACAGCCCATAGTTATGAGAAGAAAAGGATGTAGAGGCTGGTCCACCTGACACCTATGGAAGCAGGACCAGAGGATGGGGTGCCCGGGCCTGAGCAGGAAAACGCAGTCCCAGTGATGGTGTGACCCCAGCCACGCGGGAGACCTGAGGCTGCTGTGGCTCTTCCGTCCTGTCCCCTGGGTGCACCATCCCCTCGAGCACAGGCCCAGGGCGGACGGAGGCCCGGAGGCACTCAGCACGCCAGGCAGGGCACAGGCGTCCGCAGCCTGCGGGGCCCGGCTGTGTGGGCTGTCGGGGCTCCCCAGTTCAGAGCTCCCCCCAGCTCTGATGACCTCCCAGCGGCAGCCACGCGGTCATTCAGGAAACTGGATGCAGCACAAATTTCAATGTAAAACTTCTTCCGCCAAAGCAATGCCATTATTCAGAAATGACCGAGAGCCGGACTGAGGGACGGAGAGGCCCTCTCGCCCACTGCCAGGCCAGGACGCAGAGCAGCGAGCCGGGCTGGGAGCCGCACGCCCGGAGCCCAGGGGATTGTGTTTGCTTTGGGCTGACGTGAGCCATTTCTCCGGAGCTCAGACCAGGAGTGACAGGAGGCACCGTGCCTCGGTTCTCTGTGCCTTAGAGGACACGGGGGTCACAGCTGGACGCGCCCTGTCAGAGTCAGTCCCCTGCCCAGTCTCTGAGGCGCTGTCTGCAGAGGGCAGGGGCACCCGGGCAGCCAGTCCCCGGAGCGGGCAGATCTTTAACTCGGCTCTGGCAATCATTAGCCTGACAAGGGCGTGGCCTGGGCACAGCTAAACAGTCCGAAGGGAGAAAACATGAGCGTGCCTCCTGGCAGGGGGAAGGCTGTGGCTCCCTGCACACGCTGCTTCGGCCCCTATTCCGTGGCCGGAATGATCCCAGGCGACTCATGGGGACCCCGGGAGCCGGCGGATCACCGTCGTCGTAAAGCTGAGAAACCTGAGGCTCAGAGAGGGTATGTTTCTTGCCCCACCTCACACAGCAAACAGGTGGCAGAGCTGGGCCTGGGTTCCAGGATCCTGGATCCCACCCAGGAAGCGAGGCTCCCCGGGAGGCTTGGACTGGACTAAGTGTGGGGCCAGGAAGGGGGTCCAGGGAGAATCCATATTTGAATATCTCCGTCCAAGGCCCAGGACTCCACCTCCTAGATGTTTACTTAGTTTTTACTTAAAAGAAATAAAACAAAATGAAAACTAACAAACCTATACACACACATTCACCGAGGCCTTATTTGGAATAGCGGTCACGGCCAGCGCCACTCCGGGCACATCCCCACGACGGGCCACGCGATCACAGGATGAATGACTAACAGGTGCAAGGACGAGGCTGCACCTCGAAGGCGAGACACGAGGAAACCCAGGCACCAGACGCATGTGTAAAAGCCCGGAACAGCAAGGCCAGCACAGCGCTGGGAATGCTGCAGTGGTCGCCTCGGGAAGGGGCTGGGGTGGGGGGTAGCCCGGAAAGGGTGCTGGGGAGCTTTCCAGGGGGTGCAGCGTCTCTGACTGGGGTATCGGTGACAAGGGTGTACACAGCTGTCACTCATCAAACTAAGCTGAAAACCTTGCCTGGTACTGTCTGTAAATGATGCCTCAAAAGAAAGCCCACTGGGACCTCAGCTCTGTCAGAGGCTCGTCCGGAGGACACCTGTGCTGGCAGGAGGCACGGAGGACCCCAGCACGCACCTGGGCAGACACACCCCACACCCCACTTACGTCCAGAGCCTCTGCATCCTTTGAGGCCCGCGCCTCTCTCTTCCTCCTCCTGGGCGGGGAGCCGGCTTCGGACAGCGTCTGTGCACTAGACTCCAAATTCTTGAGCAGACTCTGCGCGTCGTCTACCTAAAACCAAAGGTGGGGACAGGTTGAAGTGCACAGCCCAGGGCCCCGGGGACGGTGGCCATCAGGCCCCCACCCCAGCGGTCACGCCTGCTCGGCACCGGGCTTCCTCCTGGCCTGTGCCCACTGCCCCGTCTCTCACTCCCACTCGGGGGCAGCTGCATCCTGCCAGGCTGTCCAGGGGTCACCCTGAGGAGCCCCAGAACCCCCTCTCAGCATGTCCTCAGGCTCCGGAGGCAACACTTGGGTCAAAGCGCATTCCATCGTTCTTCCGGGTGGTGGCCCCGTAACCTGGGCGCTCCTGAATGCTTAGCCGCTTAACTCAGGAAACGGCACCTAAATATCAATGTTCCTGTTATTCCCAGTGATGTCACGGGATGACTTTTCAGAAAATATGCTAGATTGCCTTGGGTCACAGAAAGGCTTTATGTGAACGGCCGGTGACCGCACTTGGCAGATTCTGCATTTGCAGATGCGAGAGCTTGCTAACCTTTATCTGTAACCCCCCAAAACCAACACCTGGGTGCTGCTGCGGCCCTCCCTGGGCGTGCGGAGCGGTGAAATGTTTCAGTCGCCTGGCGTGCCTCTTCCAACTGAGAACGAACCGCCTCTTGCTCAGCTCAGACTGCAACCAAGCGCCCTTTCTGTGTTCTATCAGTGCCTCTTCTTTTTCTTTTTTGTAGCAATTCTGTTGTTTGCAGTGACCTCTAAGTGCAGGCTGCAGTGTGGCCTAGCGTCCAGAGCACCAGAGGGCTGCAGCGTGCTTCGGAGAGAAAATGCGTGAGATAAATTTCACGCAGGCCTGACTTACAGCGCTGTGGACCAGGAGTTCAGTGTTACCAACGACACATATTGAGAGCATGCCTTTACTCAGAAGCACACGTAAACAAGGCCACGGCTGATCAGTTAGAATCTCGCAGGAGCCTCGCCCGGTACATCCTCTCGGGGCACTGACTCAGTTTTGCTAATTCTGTGTGTGCAGGGAACATAAGTACCGATGTATTTTAATCCCAGTATGCCAGAGACACTGACCCAGTCCCTCCTGCACCACTGTCTGCTCACGGAGACCACCTCTGAACAAGAAGTACCAGCCGTTTGGCACTGAGCTAGGCAGCTGCTGCTGTGGAACCTCTAATGCTGGCGGGTGTCAAGCCGCCTTCTCTCCGGTCACTGGGGAGAGAGTAAAAGACAAAACAAAAGCCCTGACTTCCTGGCGCTCCCATTCTAGCGGCAGGAGAGAGAGGTCATCAAAGAATAAGTGAACCGTATGCCAGAGGTGACGAGTGCTGGAGAGAAAGGAATGGGTGGGCGATGGGAGGACGCCTTCTTGGACAGGATGGCATTTGAGAAGAAACCTGACGGAAGTGAGACAGCGAGCCCTTCAGGTACCCTGGGGACAAGGAGCGGGCAGAGCCAGTGCAAAGGCCCCAGGGCAGGCGCATGCTCAGCATGTCCAGGGATAGCGGGGTGAGGGGGGCGGGGGGGCGGGGCAGATGATGAAGTAAGGGGCTGTGCAGGGACAGCACTGCTCCAGGAGGACGTCTCACCCTCCCCACAGGGGAGCACCCCACAGGGGAGCGTCAGTATTCCGCTCCCCCAGTTAGAAATGACCAGGAGGCCAAGCATCACCAGCCACTGGATTACAGACGTCGTCCACGAGAGACAAACAAACAAGAGGAAGAAGTGACCAGGGCACAGACACTGCCCGGGGGGGAAAGAAAACCTAAGCCACGACAAGCTGCTCAGAGAGATGAGAGAAACGGTTACACTCACAAAGAACAGGACGGGACAAGCAGGGGACGTCTGAGGACAGGAAAGAACAGTGGGCACTCAGTGTGAAGGTCCTGTTCCCTCCCGGAGCTCAGGGGGCTGTCAGACTCGGATGTTACTGTCCTCTGTCTCCTGGAGGCTGTGGGCCTCCAGCCAAGGGCAGGGCCTGTCCTGCTCACGGAGGCGGCTCTAAGACCCGGCCAGGGGCTGGCAGTAGAGCGGTGCCCCGACATTTACTGTAGGTGCATGAGTGAGTGCATGGATGACAGCAGGAGTGCAGCCTGAGGCAGCAGCGGGCACTCAGGAGAGGCGAACTAGTGACGCACGGAGCAAAGAAGCAGAGGGACATCCAGGGGCGGGGATCCCGGGCCCTCCAGTCCTCCACGCTGCGCGGGGCCTCTGCCAGCTCCAGGCCAAGCCTCGGGGGCTACCGATGCTGAGGCCAAGGCCCGAGGACTAGAGCGGTTGTTTACATCACGTGGCTGGCACCGCCTCCCGCATCCTCCGGGACCCAAAGGGAGCCCCGAGCAAGGACCAGCTGCGCGCGAAGCCCGCCATCCCGTCCCGGGGACGCAGAGCTCAGGCTCGCAGCCCAGGGGCCT